AAAGGATCTATGGGTCTATCTCGTTTTCTTCGCCATGTTACAAAAAAATGCACAAGGACATAATACCCTTACCACTATGTGTATCGGGTACACAAATGTGGTAGGGTATAAAAATGTGAGAAGTGCGCCTTCTAAGAACACCATTAAGCGTTTATACGAAAAATTTTCGACTGGTAAGGCTCTTTCTAATGCGAAGAAGCCATATAAAAGTCGACCAAGGCGATCGGCCGAGAATATCGCTGCCTCTCAACACTGGCTCGTACAGTGTTGAGAGGTCCCCAAGAACATCCCAAAAACGCCGTTCTCTGCAGTTGGGCATGGCTCGGTCCACTTTACAACGGATTATTCGCATTGATTTGGATTTGTTCCCGTACAAAATTCAATTGACGCAAAGAATTTTGCCTGCGGACAAGCCTCGTCGATTGGAATGGGCCCAAAGAGTCATGGGTCCGTCGAATATGGGAAGCAATTTTCCTTTCTATACCCTACACCATACATAGTATGGAGGATATATTATAATTCCATTTGCAACTCATCGAAATAATAATTTTAGACGTTACAAATTATATATTTCTGATCAGCGTAAAATTCTAAGACGATTTAACCCTGTCTATTCGTCCGTCAGCTGTAATCGTAGGGCTATATGGGTTATTTTTAATAATTTTAAATATGGTGGAAAATATTAATTATTGAGTATTTGTGAATTTTGTTTATTTATGTTTATTTTTAAAGACTTTTAACAAAAAGCACAATTTTAAGGTTATTTGTGGACTTTCTTTTGGCTTTCTTTTTTCATGAGTAGTTAATGTCAAATATATATATTTTTCTTAAAATATTCATTATCTTGACAAATAATACATACCAGTCATGCATTCATATTCGAATACAAATTGTATTAGGCTGCGAGTATATATATCTGTCGGTGAACAAAATTACATTTCCTAATTTTATTTATCTTAGAAATTATATATCTTTATACAAGGAAAATAATGGATGTATTAAATATTACTACCGTTGGTTTCTTAACCCTAATCCTTTGAAAAATAAACGTTCATAAAAGTTCCAATTTCCAAAATTCACAAAAAAAACGTTTCTTTACAAAATCTGCTTCTAACTACTAGCCTCCCATAAACTTTCCTCCAGTTAGCACCCATCCATGGCAGATAACTATTTATGACAAACATTAACATTGTCAATTTAATAACCATACATTCATTGTCCAGCAACCCGAGGACAGTGCTAAATTTATCCAGTTACTAAAGAGAAAGAAAACAACAAAAACCATCGCAGAACTCCATAAGGAAGCAACAATAAATGACAAATAAAACTCCATAATTTTGCAATCATTAAAGGCATTACGATCCGGTTATCTGCTGCTTTTCTCACACACCGCTGACATCGGCGGCAATCGGTGAAATGAAAGAGCTTCGCTTAAGATTTTGAAAAAGTACCCGAACGACGAAAGTCGATATTTCAAACGTTTTTACATGCAAAGATTAGCACTAACTTCTCAACAGATGGCACCATTAGTTGGAGACTTGTCGCATAAATGGTGCTGGTGCTGGTGTTTGGTCTCTACGCGACAATGGTGACATGGCCACTTGCGGGATAGGACCAGTTGCCAACTTCGTGGTTACAAAGTGGCAAAATGTGTTAGTTAATTATGTGCAGATTTCCTAAATGCTTAGCCACTTGTAAATGTGCTAGGGTGTTTTTTGATGTAGGGTAATTTGAGAATGAATTTGAAGTGGAGAAATTTTATACCGAATCAATGACAAGCCGCTTGATCAACGGCGAAATGCGACGCATACTGGTTGATGCGTGAGACTTCGCTATATTCTTAGGTCATAACAAGCTCAACTCGAAGGAGAAAGTTATCAAATTTCCATGAAGAAAAGATCTTCGCCTTCATTAGGGGCAGAATCCAATAAAAAGCCAGTTTCAATGGATCTGATATACACCATATTATGGGTCTTTTTGGAGCCATATTTTCAGCAAAAACTATGTAATGTAAAATTTGGTCTTTAACCATAAATTTATAAGAGAGGGGCACAATTTTTAGTAATTTTTTTTATAACCCTCACCATACTATGGAGGGTATTTTAACTTTGTCATTCCGTTTGTAACTGCTCGAAATACTCACGTAAGACCCAGCAAAGTATATATATTCTTGATCAGCGTAAAATTCTATGTCGATTTAGCGATCTCCGTCTGTCTGTGTGCCTGTCTGTTTGTTTGTCTATCTGTTGTAATCACGCTATCATTCGAATTGAGATAGAAGGCTAACATTTTGCAAACATATATATTTTGCCAGTAAGCAGGTTAAGTTCGTAAATGGGCCTTGTAGGTCCACGTTTTCATACAGACCCCATATAACGGTACCTCCCGATATTCGGTATTTGGTGATTTTAGTGACATTATTCACTGGAATTGTTTCAAATTTGGTATTTGAAGTTCGTAATGGATACTAGAACCTATGACAGAAAATTGTCTTCGTATAACCCCCATATATCTGTACCTCCCAATATTCGGTATTTTGATGATTTTAGCGACATTATTCACCGGAACCGTTTCAAATTTAATATTTAAAGTTCCAAAAGGAATCTACAGCCTAAGACAGAAAAATGACTGTGCAGGTTCATGTCTTCGTATAGCCCCCATATAACAGTACCTCCCGATATTCGGTATTTTTATGATTTTAGCAACATTATTCACCGGAATCGTTTCAAATTTGATATTTGAAGTTCGTAATGGATACTACAGCCTATGACAGAAAGGGGTTATGTATGTCCAGGTCTTCGTATAGGCCCATATATCAGTACCTCCCTATATTCGGTGTTTTGACGATTTAATGTACAATACTCACCGAAATCGTTTGAGATGTCGTATTTGAAGTTTGAATAGATGCTACAGGTTGTAACAGAAAATTTTCTATGTAAGTCCAGGTCTTCGTATAGCTCTGATTTAACAATACCTCCCTATTTTAGCTACATTATTAGTAATGGAAAGTAATAATGGCTTACTGCTTTTTAACTTGTTTTTTGAATGTACCTGATTAGAATATTAGAATATTCAAGATCATTCGAAAGAGTACTGAACTTTTTATACCATCAAAAAGGAATTAAAAAAAAGATGAATCTCGTCACTGAAATTATTAAACACCAAATATGTGTAAATATGGCGGCTTTACAAAGATATGGACCTGCATATCAAGTTATATGTCATATGAGGTGGTATACATTATGATCTCCAAATGACAAATCTGAAAGAATTCCGGTGAAAAGTGTGACTCAAATCATCAGAATACCGAATGTTTGGATGTATAGTTACATGGGGTCTATACCGACCTAATTAAACAAATTTTTAATTTTTTCCAATTTTACAAAAAAAAAAATGCAACTCTTCACATTGTGGTTTGTAATTTAATTTATTTTTTTAATTACTTTTAATATTGTATTTCAAGAATTGTTTGAAAAAAGATAACAGAACCCATTAGCGTTACGATATTTGCAAATTATTTCTCCTTTATTAGTCCATGATCTCGGGAGGAAAAATAATCGTGGAAATAGGATTCAGCACGGATACTAATGATTGGGGTAATATTTTAATTTTTGGAATATTTTTGGAATTTTCTCCAATTCTTACAACTGCATTCTTCAGCAGTATTTCAGGTCTAAACAATTAAAAAAAAACACAAACATTCAACCCTTTCCATTTGTTGTGATGTACCCGGACAGAAACAGAAAAGGAATAACAAATAATTATGACTATTTTATTAAAAAAATTCCCAAATAATTATTCATTTGAATTATTCTAGATCTGTCCAGATAACATAACTAAATATAAATTCAAATGTTCACAAAAAATTTTATCAACAAATCGAAATCAGTAGCATCTTGACCACTTTTTTATCTTTACTCAAAAAATCATAATTTGTTTCTGCTGAACTTTTACTCCAGCGGTGAACTATCAACAACAACAACCGGCACTTCCAACTTCATTCATTTTTCTCTGACGATCTCTCAAACCACTTGAATTGAATGAATGTTTCATAATTTGCTTGTGGCCAGCCAAAAATGATAAGTGATTTTTGAATGACAATGACAAAACGTTTATTTTATTTGATTTTTTCAACAACCCTATTAACGTCAGTGAAAATTGACAGCAACATCAGTTGATGAAATAAAACAAAAGAATGCAGACACTTGACCGAAAAATGCTTTAAAGTAATTGTTTGTTGTGTTTGGGATGTTTTTGTACAAGTTATCAGGTTAATGATAATAAAATAAAAAAACAAGGAATGAGTGCCACCTAAAGGTTAATATGTGAAAATATTGGTTAGTGATCACATATTTCATAAAAAAACGGTTTCATTGGTCGTTTGAAGGCCATAGTTTGTGTCAAAGATGACCAATTCGAATAAATCTAAACTTATTCTAAAATTTGATGCCATTTCCGACATTTTTTGCTTTCATTCAATAAAATTAAAAAAAAACAATTAATAATTATGGCGTTTGACTTTGTTGCAGTTTTTTTATCTCATCCAGTATTTGCATATACAGCGGTTCACAAAATAATATGTTTAATAAAAAATTAAATTAGAATAAAGTCCGTTATATTTTTATTATATTTTTGTGGGATTATTTCTATAAAAAAATATTTGAGGCATTTCAGCCTTTTCTTCTAATAATATTTTTGAAAAACTGTCAAGAAAACTGAAAACAACATATGCTCTGTTCCAGGACCTGAGAATTTTTTAGTTCTGCTATTATTTTTTTTCTAATTTATTTTTCAATGTCGAAGTAGAAGTTTTTTAAATTCTTGCTGTTCTGGAACAGAGCACTAATTTGAGCTCCATTTTATTTTTTTTATTTTACGAATTTTTATTAATATTGAAACACTAATACTTGCTAATGAAAAAAATGTGTTTCTAAAATTTTTTATCGTTTTAAAAATATTTATTTTTTTATGAAAAATTTGTTCAAAAAATTTTGACAAAATTACTCTGGCCTTACGTGATCTGTTATCCATTGCATATAATGAGAGACGTTGGCATAGATTCCCGGTACATTTCGTTCGCCGCAATTCGAAACCCCAACCGATACCACACCGTACTGCACAAGCCGAGACGAGCCATTGTAGATGTCGGTGTAACCCAGCGGCCCGCCCGAACCACTTTTACAAGTATCAACCAAATTTTTAGCTCCAGCGCAGATGTGAGTACTATTCAGCTCATAGGTGAGGCCAAATGGTCTCAAATAATTTTGACATGTGGCAAAATCAACGCGGAGAACATCCGAAGAAGCTCCTACAAATTTAAAAATAATTATGTTGTCATTAACATATTTTCAATTTTGGCATCAATACCAACCTGTTTCGGTTCTTCCCCAACCGGGTATTGCATATTGTTCATGATCGAGTGATCGCAGATTCTCATATATGGGCAAGTACTTGAAATACACGATTTTTTCTATTGCTAAGGCTTGCTAAGAATTAGATACTTTCCTCTCTAAACGTAATAAGGCGATATCAATGTAAACCGAACGATAATTCTGATGCAGAATAATGTCCTGAATGCCCATTTCAAGGGGCGCAGGGGCACATGTTATCTTTGGTCCTAATTTAACGCAATCTATGGCAGTACTCTTTCGATATTCCCCAAGGCGTATATACATTCTAACTAAATTAATAAATTAAAAACAAAAAATAAATTTCAAAACAACATCCGACCTCAGATCAATTTTTTCTATAGAAAAAAATCAGTCTTTAGTTCTGAGGTCATTTTTTCCTATAGAAAAAAATCTGACTTCAGTTCTGATGTCATTTTTTCCTATAGAAAAAAAGGAAGCCTCCGTTTTGAGATCATTGTTTCCAATAAGAGTGGATTTTCAAAAAATATTTTCTCAAGGACCTTCTTCAGTTGGTCCTTGAGAAAATATTTTTTAAGGGTGGATTTTTTAAATATATTTTTAAGGACCAATAAGATTGGATTTTTTAAACATATTTTTTCAAGGACCAACATACTAATAATATTGGATTTTTATACATATTTTTTCAAGGACTACCTCAAAAATAACAGTGGCGCACGGAATTTTAAGAAATTTCTTTAATATCAATAGTCTAAAAATCATTGATTTTTGAAGAATGATTTTTAAGGATCAACAGTCTAAAAATCATTGATTTCTAAAGAATATTTTTTAGAGATCAACAGTAAAAAATTATGGATTTTTGAAGAATATTTTTTAAGGATTAACAGAACAATAAGCCTGGATTTTTGTTCCAAGACCAATAGACCAACAACCGTAGATTTTTAAAGAATTTTTTTCAAGGATCAACAGTCTAAAAATCATAGAATTTTAAGGAATATTTTTTCAAGGACCAATAGACCAATGAGCGCGGCTTTTTAAATAATATTTTTTCAAGGACCAGTAGCATGGATTTTTAAAGAATATTTTTTTAATACCCACAGAACATTATTATTTCGGGATTTAAAGAAAAAAATTTCAAGGGCCGATGGACCAATAAGCGTGGTTTTTTAAAGAATATTTTTTCAAGGACCTACACAAAAATAAGCGTGGATTTTTAAAGAATATTTTTTTAAGGACCAACACAAAAATAAGCGTGGATTTTTAAAAAATATTTTTTCAAGGAAGAAAAAAAGCGTAGTTTTTAAAGAATATTTTTTCAAGGACCAACACAAAAATAAGCGTGGATTTTTAAAGAATATTTTTTCAAGGACCAACACAAAAATAAGCGTGGATTTTTAAAGAATATTTTTCAAGGACCCCCACAACAATAAGCACGGATTTTTAAAGAATATTTTCTCAAGGACCACCACAACAATAAGCGTGGATTTTTAAAGAATATTTTTTTAAGGACCACCTCAAAAATAAGCATGGATTTTTAAAGAATATTTTTTCAAGGACCAACACAAAAATAAGCTTGGATTTTTAAAGAATATTTTTTCAAGGACCAACACAAAAATAAGCTTGGATTTTTAAAGAATATTTTTTCAAGGAACAACATAAAAATAAGCTTGGATTTTTAAAGAATATTTTTTCAAGGACCAACACAAAAATAAGCGTGGATTTTTAAATAATATTTTCTCAAGGACCAACACAAAAATAAGCGTGGATTTTTAAAGAAAAAATTTCAAGAACCAAAATAAGCGGGGATTTTTAAAGAAAAATGTTCAAGAACTAAAATAAGCGTGGATTTTTAAAGGAAAAATTTCAAGAACCAAAATAAGCGGGGATTTTTAAAGAAAAATTTTCAAGAACTAAAATAAGCGTGGATTTTTAAAGGATATTTTTTCAAGGAAGAAAAAGAAAATGTGGATTTTTAAGGAGTAATTTTTCAAGGAAGAAAAAGAAAGGGTGGATTTTTAAGGAGTATTTCTTCAAGAATCAGCAGTCTAAAAATCATGAATTTTTAAAGAATATTTTTTCAAGGACTTGTGGGTGTCCTAGCATGGATTTTTAAATAATATTTTCTCAAGAACCAATTTAATTTTTAATATTTTAATTTTAGTTTTGTTTTTTTTTTTTCATTTTCCCAAAACATTTTCTGAAACAACTCCTTCTCCTTTCATACATTTGTAAACCCACCTACCCAATTGATGCTAACTACCAATAGAGAATGTGCTTAACACGATACTCCTGTGTAGGAATCTGGACACTGACCTTTGACACACTAGGTAATGGGAACATTGAATCCATTATGAGCAATGTCTTGCATTCGGCTGATGACGCTGACGACGACGACGACGATGATGCTGGTGATGTTGATGGTAGCTTCGAAAATGATGTTTCCTCAATTAACCCCTTAGTGGTCTGTGTTGAAGACGAGAAACAAATCCGATTTGGAACCAATTTCTGGCGCTGTTCTTGCTGATGGTGTTCATTTATTTGGGAATTGGTTTGAAGCCGCTGCCATGGCGGAGGATGATGTGTGGCCACGGCATGATGGGATAGTTGTTCAGCTGATTTGCTTTTTTCTGTGTTTTCCATTTAGTGAAACTTTGGCAACAAACACAAGATGGGTGGTGTACCAGTTGTCATCGTCATTGTCGTCGTCGTCGTCTTTTTTGTTGTTTGAGAAAAATGGTAATGTTTTTCTTTCTGGGCTGAGATTCTTCTCCGGGGTTTCGGTTTTGATGTTTTTGAGTAGCATCATCAAATGGATTTGAACAAAAACCCAAACCGAAAACACGAATTGCATTCTTGTAACAAAGATTGTTTGGAGCGACGACATACATTGGGCTGAACCCTGAAAATGCCTGCTAAAAGTGAGGAGTTCTTCCAACTTGTTGTTGTTGTTGCTATTGCTGCTGTTTGGAAAACGATCTTGGTGGCAATTGTTAACAGAAATGTAGATTTGTTTTGTTAAATCGCAAATATACAAGCGGTAACTATCAGCAAAAACAAGCGAAAAGTAATGTTTTCGGTAAATTGAAATCAACGTTGGCGTTCACAACATGAAACCGTCAACGGCAGTCAGCCCGCGAAATGTTAACGAAAAGTTCAAAGAAGTAGAAAAGAAATTGAAATAGACTACCGTAACGAATAGCTGCATAATTATTACTTGTTGCGCTGGGAAGAATGGGGTGGAAATGCTCTGAAAGAAGGGGAGAAAGAGAAAGGTTCGATCCAAAGAAAACTAGTAGAAAAAAATGCCAACAGAAGGTAAAAACCCCTAAAAGATCTCCTCACGGAAGACCAAATTTTTTTTGTCAGAAAACGAGAAGGTCTTCTCATAGAAGGCCAGAAAGACTCGCCATAAAAGACAAGAAAGTCCTCCCATAGATGATCGGAAGGTCATCTCATAAAAGACCAGAAGGTCTTCTCAATAGAAGATCGGGAGATATTCTTAATAGAAGACCTGAAGGTCTTCTTCATAAGAGACTACAAGAAGGTCTTCTTCTTAGAAAACCAGAAGAAGGTTGTCTTCATGAAAAACAAGAAGAATGTCTTCTTCATAAAAGACCAGAAGAACGTATTCTTCATAGAAGACCAGAAGTAAATCTTCCTCATAGAAGTCCAGAAGTAAATCTTCCTCATAGAAGACCAGGGGATTTTCCAAAGACCAGTAGGTGGTCTTCTACATAGAAGATCAGTAGGTTGTCTTCTTCATAAAAGACCAGTAAGTGGTCTTCTCCATAGAAGACCAGTAGGTGGTGGTCTTCTCCATAGAAGACCAGTAGGTGGTGGTCTTCTCCATAGAAGACCAGTAGGTGGAGGTCTTCTCCATAGAAGACCAGTAGGTGGTGGTCTTCTCCATAGAAGACCCGTTGGTGGTGGTCTTTTCCATAGAAGACCAGTAGGTAGTGGTCTTCCCCATAGAAGACCAGTAGGTGGTGGTCTTCTCCATAGAAGACCAGTAGGTGTTTGTCTCCTCCATAGAAGGCCAATAGGTGGTGGTCTTCTCCATAGAAGACCAGTAGGTGGTGGTCTTCTCCACAGAAGACCAGTAGTTGGTGGTCTTCTCCATAGAAGACCAGTAGGTGGTGGTCTCCACCATAGAAGACCAATAGGTGGTGATCTCCTCCATAGAAGACCAATCGGTGGTAGTCTTCTCCACAGAAGACCAATCGGTGGTAGTCTTCTCCACAGAAGACCAGTAGGTGTTGGTCTCCTCCATAGAAGACCAATAGGTGGTGGTCTTCTCCACAGAAAACCAGTAGTTGGTGGTCTTCTCCATAGAAGACCAGTAGGTGGTGGTCTCCTCCATAGAAGACCAATCGGTGGTAGTCTTCTCCACAGAAGACCAGTAGGTGTTGGTCTCCTCCATAGAAGACCAATAGGTGGTGGTCTTCTCCATAGAAGACCAGTAGGTGGTGGTCTTCTCCACAGAAGACCAGTAGTTGGTGGTCTTCTCCATAAAAGACCAGTAGGTGGTGGTCTTCTCCACAGAAGACCAGTAGTTGGTGGTCATCTCCATAGAAGACCAGTAGGTGGTGGTCTTCTCCATAGAAGACCAGTAGGTGGTGGTCTTCTCCATAGAAGACCAGTAGGTGGTGGTCTTCTCCATAGAAGACCCGTTGGTGGTGGTCTTTTCCATAGAAGACCAGTAGGTAGTGGTCTTCCCCCTTGGAAGACCAGTAGGTGGTGGTCTTCTCCACAGAAGACCAGTTGGTGGTAGTCTTCTCCACAGAAGACCAATAGATGGTAGTCTTCTCCACAGAAGACCAGTAGGTGGTAGTCTTCTCCACAGAAGACCAGTAGGTGGTGGTCTCCTCCATAGAAGGCCAATAGGTGGTGGTCTTCTCCATAGAAGACCAGTAGGTGGTGGTCTTCTCCATAGAAGACCAGTAGGTGGTGGTCTTCTCCATAGAAGACCAGTAGGTGGTGGTCTTCTCCATAGAAGACCAGTAGGTGGTGGTCTCCTCTTCTCGACAGAAGACCAGTAGTTGGT